ATATCGTGCATCCCTAATAATTATCATTTCCTAACATAATAATCTTTAATGCTTATAGTTTTACTGCTCGCAGTCAGGACAGCTGTATGAGGACACACCTGACAGCGTCTGGTTATGCAGGGCTTGGTGGAGGTCATCCAGGATTCAGAGCTGTTATAGGAGCGTCCATCTAACATGCAGCCTGAGAAGAGACAGACAGACGATTAATGCAAGGCTTTAGGATTACATTTCTCTCTATAAATTCTCTTTAACTTTTAAACATTTATAGAATCGCCAGCTGTGGATTGTGACTAATATTCTGGCAATTCAACTGTAACCATGCAGAAATCTTTTTTCTTCTATGAGAAAAAAAGACCATCTTTATTCTGTAGATTTCTTCCTGAAATTAAAACAGTGTCATTGTTTTTGTTAGGTCAAAGCACCGTCACCTGAATGTTTAGATGAGAGCGAAAGCTGCAGCATTTTCCCTACAACAACGCAGAACATCTGCACATGTTTGACTTAACGTCACTGATGTGATTCAGAATTAAAGAGTGATCTGGCGCATTAACTCATCTCAACACAAGGCTAAACAAAAATGCCTCTTCCTACCACATGACAAGTCTCATATATTATAATGAAAGTCAAAAACCGGATGCGGTGTCCAAATCACGCTTGATTGTCTGCAAAAACCGAAACATCATTTCTCCCAAGCTTATTTACATTCTGCAGCTGAGGTTTACAAAGAAGGAAGCAAAAGGATAATGTTCACTTAGAAAAAATGAAATGATTGATTAGTTTTATCCAAACTTCTTTTTAAAAGTAAAGCTTGTTAATAAATATTATAAAGCAGTTTTCTCTGTTTGGTTCCAAACTGGACAAAGTCTAAGAAAAGGTACAATCCAGATTTATGAACTTTGAGATGAAGATGAAAAGCAACAATAAAACTGAAAGATTGTTTATCAGCAGTAAAGTTTAATAAATTAACTTATTATTTTCTAATTAATATCCATTTTCCTACTTCAGAACCTCGAGTTCTGAAGACCTACTGGCTTAGTTACCAGAATCCCTGCTGACTCTTGCTTTATGGTATTTTACTCATTGATGTGGACAAAAACATACATTTAACTGTTCAAAATGCCTTCATGTAAACGTTCTTAAGTACTGTTTATGCAAAAACAGAGAAGTCTTTCACAGTTTCACAGATCAAACGAGTGTTTATATGATGTCACCTCTTCTTTTTTTTTTTTATCACACCTGCTTTGTCTCATTCCCTGCCTCTGTTTAATCTGCTCTCCAACACTATTAGCACTGTTTTTACCTTTTCCGTGCCGGAAACAGATATTTTTGCAGTAAAGCCACGTTTCTGGAGGACTTAAATTAGAAAATATTCAGAGTTAAGGATATATGCCAAATAAATGCTTTTCCAGATTGAGTCACATAACCACTTTTATTGTTTTTTTGTTTTCTCTTCCTTTTTTAATCACAGTTGTATTAAGCCCTAACTAGTCTTAGACCATAAATTAAACTCAGCTGAGTTATTTTGCATTTATTAAGCATAGTCGATCAGTGATAAATTTGTACTTTTAGTGTACAAAGTTTCCTAAAACCAATGAACAACTGACAGATCAGGCATAGGGTTTTAGAACTTCAAGGCAGGGTTATTATACCAACTAATGTTCTTTTTTATAAATATCAATTCCATCGTGTTTATCGATAATATCCAATTTTAACAAACTGCTTCAAAGTATGTCGTTTTAGCTAACGAAATGCTTAAGATCCAGTATAAAGCATCTGGTATCAGAAAAATGTGCCCATACAGCCCCAACCCTCCGCCACTCACCTATAAATACAGCTTCAGAGGAAAACATTTAGATGTAACAGCTACTCTTTAAATTACACCCTCTGCACTGTCATCCACTTTCCTTTCAGCGCTGAATGAGAAGCCGATTCATTTCATCCCTGTTACAGTAAACGGTCTCAGATCAATGTTGAACTTTTCATACATTGAAACCCAATCACAGCCATTGATCTACTCTCTTATTTTGTCAAATAAATCCTACGATACTATATCACTGCTGCAGGAAGATTTGCAGTAATGTAGAAAAGAAAGATGAGATTAGGTAATAAAATCCTGTTCAAACTCCTACACCAACACAGAGTGACAGTAAAACAGGGCTTTTTGAAACTATTCTTCATTATGGACTTTCCCCAAATATACAACCATTTATGAGCTCACTATTCAATGGGGTTTATTGGGATTTTATGCAGTGGATCAGTCTAATGTCTCTACCAGCTTTGCGTGTCTAGAGACTAAAATTTCTACCCATTTTTTATTAGCAAAATAGCTCGAGCTCAGTCAGACTGGATTGGATTTCCAGTGAGACTTAGGTCTCATACTGGGAAGGAGATTTCTGAGGCTAGTTGGGGATGCTAGTTTGTATTAGTCTGTCACTTTAAATCCTAATAAAACACATTGAAATCTGCATTCAAAGGGTGTAAATTTTTCATTGAGGAGCTTTTTCTGTCTCTTCTTAGTTACTTTTTGTATTTTATCAGCATAAAGCTGCATCTTCACGCTATCAAATATGATAGAGATCAACATTTTAAAGCATCAATAGGGCAAACCAGCAGTTTGGAAATGGAATAATTTGTTTTGACAATAATAATCTGTAGTCTGAGTAAAGGCCAGACTTCTTAATGTTCAGTCTATATAAGTGGTGTTTTTTCCTGCATTTATTTCAGAGTGAAAGTGTTGATAAAAAACCTATGATGCTACATAGTGTTGAATAAAAACTGCTTCATAAATAAAGGTTGTGTTTTTGTTTGAAAAGAGCAGAATAAGCACAATCAGAATGACTCCCTTATGATCCTGAATACTTTAGAGACGATTTCTCAGACTTCATGAAACAATTTAAATCACGTTACTGTAATTTAAGCTACATCAACCCAGATTTTTTTACTTTCCTTTCTAATTTTGTTTTGAAATCTACTGTGGTTGCAACAATTCCAAGGATTTTGTAAACTTTAAAGGTAAAATAAAACACTTCTGCTTGACTATCTATATTGGCTATATTGATCGGTGATGGTTCAAATATTAAATCAGGATAAGCTGCAAACAGAAAACTCCTTTTTATGTGATAAAAAACCTAAATAGCAGTTTTTAATAAAAGCTATTTTGCTTTTTATTATGGCAAGTGTAAACTTGGTTATTAAGCTTCTCTCGACCACAGTCTTGGTAATAAAGTGACACGTTCTGACTGTGATTCTCATCAACTGTCAGCATGATTTCATAAAGAGATGCTGATGTGTTCTTAGAGGCAAAGACAAAGCAGGTTTAGTTGCTCAGTCCCAGGAATCAAAATAAGATCTAAAAGCGGCCTCGGTGACGACACGGGGCTTTTTCTGCTCCGAGCTGAACGCGGTCCGCCTCTGTTAATGAAGTGCTGCGTCGTAAAACAGAGAGCTGCAAACAAAGAGGCTGTGGCCCGGCGGAGCGGGAGGTAGGTGTGAAGGATTTTATATTTCCATGGAGTTGCATGGCTGCAGCAAACCTATTCCAAAACAATAAGGACATTTTGGAGGAATGGGGGAAAAGGTTTGGATGTCAAGAAACTCACAAGGACAGTTCTGAGGGAGAATATAATACACAAGTATTATGTACATTATTATGCACAATGACTTTTAAGGGTTACATTAAAAAATAAATATTTTCTTTTCATTTTATAAAACATTTTCTTTGTATCCTTTAAAGAGTTACTTTTAATTTATTTTCCTTAAGCATTATAAACATGGCCTGATAGTAAAGCCTATACATGATTTACATGAGCTAAATCAGATAAACACCTAAAATGTTCATACTTCACTGGTGATGAAATTAGAGAAACGTTTAGCATAATGATTTTAAAAACACCATTTATTCCTGCACTTCATGTAAAGATGCAAAAAACACCTCACATATTAATGACATAAAATATTAGAAAACTAAAAATCTTCAGAACATCTAAGAAGAAGCTTTAACCAGAAGGAAAATGAAATCCTGCTGAGAAATTATTCTGAAATAAAACCTAAACTGTTAGGATGACTGTCTGTCCTTACAGCTCCTATGAATCAAAATGGCCGACACTGAGTGTGGAGGAACCAATAATCCACGAAACCCTTTTCCACAAGTGTGGAATATAACATAACACTTCTTATAACAATTTTTCCAAACCGAAAGGACAGGAGAACACTGAAACCTTTCATCAAGGAAGGCAGATGTGACACGATCTTCATAAGTCAGAAAATGGGCTCTAGAAAATATTTATCTGACTAAACTTGAACATACAGTCAAATATAATTGAACAAGCAAGAAACTTACTTCCTGAATAATTAGAAATACATTTTCCCATGGTGCACTTTGTTGAGGCTGGTAAGAAAAGGAAACCTATTGCTTTGATAGATTATGCCACTGTAATAACTGTGTTGTAAAGAGGAAATAATCCTGCAAGTATAAAAAGATGCACTGTAAAGAACAATGGACCATTTATCAATTTCTCCAAATAGTACTTTTTTAGGAAAGGTTAAAATCTGGTGAAGTGAAGAAAAAACAGATAAAGGCTAAAATTAAAAAGGGGAAACTTTTTAGTCAAAGCTCCTATTTTGAACAATTAGATGAAAATGACAAAATATCAAACAAACAAAGAATGTCTAAACAGAGGCTTTTTGTTCTGGTTGAGCAAAATACTTAATCTGATGCTTTTAATTTGATTATCTGGATGGAATCTTTACTTACTCATTGGTTTTGCAGGTAATTTTTTTTTTCATATCTCCTTTATGGGCCAGATTTCTGGAAAACTGAGATCTTCCATGCAAGCTATTGCATTTTTTAAAACACAAAAAAAAAAAAAAATAAATAAAGTGAAATAAAGATGTAAAGATCTGCTATACCCATTTAGCTTCAAATTAAATTTGACCCACATTTTCTAGTATCAACAATTTGTGAACTTTATTTCAAATCTATCAAATAATAAGGCAACCCTTAAGCGTGTTTAAATTTGCTTATTTTCCAGAGATGTTTAAGGTAAAGCTCAGAAAGATGCAGCCCATGGATGTATAAACAAATATATCCTCTAGCATGATTTCAGACTCATAAAAGTAACTGTATTTCTGTTGCTTGTAAACCTGACGGTGAACCCCCTCCGCAGCCAAACTGTCTCCACAAGCTGCAGCTGTGTGTACGTGGCTTCAAATGACGTGAAAAAAAGCATGCAGATTTACTCCCACAGGTTGCATTAAGGCCTGGCTGTTTGCATACAGAGCGATAAAGTGGTCTCTGATGGTTTGGTAAGTCTGTATGAGCTTTATGTTTCTGTGTTATAACAGCCCCCCCTCTATTAAAGTCTTGCAGCTGCAGATACCTCAGAGCTACAATAAACCCTCCAAGGTTCATTGTTATCATCATCGCTGTCATATCAGGGTCAAAACACATAGTGGCAGAGGGTCGTCTTTCTCCGGCTCTGCTGGTCTGTCTTACCTTTACACCTCTCACAGCAGGCGCCGGTCTGTTTCACCACCAGGGCACAGTCTTCAGACACCAGCGGACATTTCTCCTGTTTACAGTCTGCTTTCCCGTCCTGCAGAGAGGGGAAAAAAAGCCCCCGCTGTTATTTTCATGTTTTTTCTCAAACCTACGACTTTATTCCAACATTTGCATCCATTCTGATTTAATCTCTTCCTTTTTTCCTTATGTTGTTTTCTGTTGCCAGTTAATTTGAAAACTTGAAGAACCGTTTTATAAAATCATAACATTCAGAGTCCAAATTGCAGTTTACTTTTGCTTTAAAGTAAGTGCTTGGAGACAGCTATCCTTACAAAGATGGCACCTAATAAAGATGCTTTAAAGCTTTCTGGAAAAAGCAGACAAACATTAAGTCCTCATGAGGCTCATTGTTTGAGGTAATCACCCCCAAATGTAATTATTTAATGTTCAGTTTTTATTACCCTGACATGACCAACCTTGGGTTTCTGATTTAAAGCACGAGCACTACGTAAGCCTTCAATTATTTATCCTTTTTTCTTCCTTCATATTAACAAAAAGCTCTTTGGGACACTTTAAATCAACATATGATGACTCTATTTCTAAAATTTATGGGCAGATTTGGTGCAATCCTCTTTGTCAGACACCTTCTCTTGCAGTCTGCATTTAGAAAACAGTTATCTATAAATTAGTAAGAAGGAAAATTGCTTTAGTCTGTGCTAAATGGAAGCTTAAAAAAAGAACACTGCACTCACAGTTACAGTTACAGAAAAGACACAAAGTATAATCAGCCTATTTAGAAAAGACTGATTCTAATTGAAGAATAATGGGACTTTTACGGATATTACTTCTATATTTGTAAAAGTTAAATGACTCAAACCATTTCTACATTTCAATACATGTGCAGAAACAGGCATATAATCATATTAAAGTCATGTTTACTACATGTAGCAACATAAAGGGCGTATTTTAGTGAATCTAAGCCCTATAGCCTAAAGGTTCAGTAATTTGTAGACATGTAGAAATGTTTAAAAATGAAAGCTTAGATGAGATTATCCCATTGCTAGGTGCTAATTGTGAGTAGTCTGTTGCTTTGTGTATATATATTCTCAGTATTAGTAGCATAAGAAAGATCATTTACATCCCATCTAAGGTTCGGGGTGAATAAATTGATAACTGAGGTAGATAGTAAAACAATAAACCAACTTTGAACATCTCAGAGCTCTGTTGAATCTTTAATCTGAAAAAGGATAAAGGTATGGCACAAATGCAAAACCTAGACATGGGCTAAAAGGCTGGGCGAAAGGAAGATGAACGTGGAGATGACGAGAGGTTGATTTTCTCTGTTGTGTTGTTTCGCCTCCAGAGAAAATCGACCTCTCGATAATCTGTCCTTGCAACACCTCATAGGACGACAGATTATTGATGCATCCAACAATCTTTATGAAAATATATAAAGAACAAAGTCATTATCAAACACAAAACAAAGATTTCTTTGTCTCTTTTGCGACAGAGCGTGTAGAATAGATGTGAAAAATCCAGTTGTTTTAGTTTCAAGCAAATTAGTTAAGCAATGTCATAACGATTCAAATGACTTGATATAAAAATAACAACAAACCAACGACTCCAATGACCCAGAAGAACGACAGGAAGATCACATGCCGTAAGGAGGAGGGGCTTCCAACCTCAGCACTTTAGCTACAGCTTGTTTCATTGTGAACTAACAGAACTGTCAAAGACATCTGAATATCTGTCGCAACAGTTTCAGAACAACTGAGCAAAAGTCTAGTTGCATCTAATTTAAACTGTTTTGTGTTTCCTTTCAACCTGATGACTGAGGATTTTCACAGGCATGTAAAAGTAGAAGATGCTACATACAGGAGTCGAGATCCACCCTAAACACACTCAGAGCAGGATTAGTTTAAATCAAGCAGGATCGTGTTTTAGAGCAAGAAACTTTTTTTATTTCTAACACCCAAAACAATCACTTTAATGTCTGATATTTGCACGTCTGAAGAGACTAATGTGCAATACCAAACATGCAAGTATACTTATAGGATTCAATAAAGTCAGACCATTAGAAGACCACTATCACTTTTCCAAGTTTGAAAACTTGCAGCCTGAGAAATAAAATATGACTCAGCCTTAAAAGTGAGCTGTGAATTTTCACACCAGCACAACAAACCTCCTGTCGCCTTCTGACACACTGCACACCGTGTCCGTCAGCACAGCGACATGCAGCGTGGGACTGGACACAACCAGCGTCGCCTAATTCTCTCAAGTTTCACACCCAGTCTTTACGGCCGGGTTTGTCCCCATTCTGAGTGTGTTTTATTTTACAAACTGTGAGGGTTTATAAAGCTGAGGCTGGCAGGCCCCGCGGCCCTGTGGCCCTGCGGCAGGAGGCTCTAACAAGGACGGATCAAAGGAGTGCGAAAATAAACCCGGCCCGGTTTAATATAGCTGCAGCCCTCCTACTAAACCCCAACCACACCGAGGTCAGATGATGTCATGACAGAAGAGGAGGAAGGAAGGAAGGAAACCGAGATGGAAAGAACTAAAGGATGAATTGTGATGTATCAGAGGGAAAATGAAAGGTAGATGAAAACTGTTTCAATGAAATGATTCATATCTGTTATTATATCCCTCTGGAGGCAATTGAAATAATTTGAAACCACAAAGTGCAAATATTAATCATGGAACAATAGCATCAACTACAACTAAAGTATATAACCCTATAAAAATGCCCATCATTGTCATGATCTTGGCGCTGATGGTCCGATTAATCATTTCAATCACCTGCCTCACTCAGTCCAGGTCTCATTACCTTTCATCTGTTCCTCCTGTTTCAGCTTCCATTTGACCAGCATTCAGACCAGCCATCAGTGCCAAATTATTCCAGCCTGTAGAGAGATTTCTCTAGCATACCTGAGAGTTTCTCATTGTCTGATCCTGATGCTTTCAGCCTCTTGACCTCTAAGTTCTGATCTGTTTGCCTGACCTATCCTCGGACTCCTGCTAGATTTTTGCCTGTCTGTTAACCGAACCTCATCGTTCTTTCCCAACATCGTTCTGGATTTCCCTTTGGTTCCCCTTTGGACCTCTGATCTGCTGGCTCTTACTCCAAAACACTTCTTCGACACCAGCTTTGGCTTATCACTCTGGATTATCCTGCCTTCCTTCATCTGCTCAGTTCTGATCTTCTGCCTGTTCTCCGACCTCCGAGTCTTCAGCGTCTAGGACTCTATACGCGGCGCCCAATGCGTCTTGTTGGCAGTTGACCATCTGGATCCAACCTCGTCCTCTGGGCACGCATTGAACTATAAGACCATGTTATGGACTCACATATTCTTTATCATCCCCGCCAGATAGACAGACATTAACCTGCGTTCTCCCCCTGCAGAGGTTCCTGCCTTAGATGCTGACATCCTTCTCTGCAGTTCCATCTTAAATAAAGGTTTTGTTAAACTTAACTGTTTTTCTGCCTCGAATACTGGGTCCTTTTGTACTTAGTTCTAAGCTTCATATGAATAACACATTTGTAACACCCCTGCAAACAATGTTTTAGCTGCAAAATGGAAATAAGAAAATATCAAGAAAATTCCAAGAGGGAAGCAGAACTTTTTATCAGGTAATAACTTAAATCTTCCTATTTGTAGGGAAAAATAAACAGTGTATTTTTTATTCTTTCTGTGTATTTGAATTCCATATATGAAAATATTTATTAGTCTTTTTTTTATTATTTTATTATTCTGCTTTAAAACAAAAAAATTAATCTTGAGAGTACATTTATAAGGTATTTTAACATCAGACTGTGAAACAATGATCTAATCTAGACACTACTTATTGCTAATTGCCATAAAAAAAGCTTTAGCTTCACATTTTCCTTAAAATCCATTAACTGCACCACAAAATTGACATGTATACCGAAGAACCTAACTGTCAGTAAGGATGCAGGTTAGGGCAGCGTGTCACCAACTCCACATGATATTTTATATCTTAAAGTTAAACATTACCCCAAATTATTCAATGCATAGTTTGGGACACAAAGAAAAGTTGGAGAATCTCAGTATGAGATTATTCCATTCTTTTTTATTTCTGTTGACTGCCTGTAGAATTTTGAAACAACTGCACCACAGGAAAGGAAGCTTGGCCGTGGAAATAGAGCCACTAGACGGTGAAAACGTGACATGTCAAAGTGCAAAACAACCAGAACGCTCCACGATCAATCGCTGATGAGGTGGTTCTTCAGACCACTGCTGCCTTATAAGCATAACCCTGGACCCAGCCTGTAATTTTCAACTAAAGCCATGGGTAAATTAAGAAAGCTACACAGTGGGTATTCCAATAACTGCTAGGAAAAAAAGATTTCTATAAATATTTTAACCGTAATCGTCTATCATGAGGACAGCTGTAGTTAAGATGCTGAAATGTTCCCATATACTATTAAAGGTTACAGTAGACATGCGGTGGAAAGTTAAAGCTTCTGAGTTTTAGATCTGACTTTCAGACATCTTTTTTTTTTTTAAACAATCCAACCATTTCTTAATCCTTGCAGCATCACAAGACGCCGGTGCTTATCAAACTGAGGCATGCTTCACCTTCCAGAACAAAGAAAACATTCTCACACTGGGAATGAGCTAATTTTGGTGCCTCGTTTAAGAAATTCCCTAAAAATCTAAAATCCGGTAAAGGTCTTTTAAGTTCTGAGAACCAGTTAGGTGGATGCATCTGGAAGGTCATGTCCTCCTCCGTCTCCATCCTGGTATCCATTAGCGGAGCGGCGGTGGTACATGTGACCCTCTCCACTGCTACCCTCTTTGCGTCGGGGTCAGCGGTCACAGTGGGTCACCTCGCCTTATAAACACTCGAAATACCACCCCGGCACCAAGGCTGCTTGACTGTCTGTTGCAGAGAGTGAGACCCCCCCCTGCCCCACAATACACACAAACATGAAGGGGGATAAAGCATCGGTATGCTGATAAGTGGTTTTGTGTCAAAGGGAAAGTGAGTATGATGATGCCAGTGGGGCAGCCTGCTGTTACACAAAAACTGATGCGTTTTTGTTAGATTAACTTATTTAGCTTGTTTTTGTTTTTCTTCTCA